GAGTGAGATATGAATATGAATGCAAATGTAGATGAATATAGCTATATGTTACTTTATCTACACTTATCTTTTGAATATAAAACATGTAATAAATATATATCACTATACTTTTTTCAATGTGCTGCTTTATTTTCTTTATAAGTTTTCTTCTTTCAGTACCTTATATCACTAACTAGGTTTCTTCCTTTCTTTCCTTGAACTATATTCTGTGTAGGGATAATTGCTTCTTCTACCCTGAGCTACTGACACTTCCCTGAAATAACTGAAAAGACCTAAGGGACAGATTTATTGTCAGAGGCCTTAGGTGCTAAAATACCCTGGGGATGCCCATTGTGCCTGAACATTCGAGCCCTAGGGAATGGATATGCCTTATGATTCTTCTTTGCTTTCCTTTACTGATTATTCTTAATAAATGGCAAAGACGCCTGGTAAGTATGTGCTCAGAGTGACTTCAAGAATACTGCAAAACAGGCATATTTTTCCTCTCGTTTCCATTGTTGAATTAAAGTGAAACACAGACTTATATTGCCACAGGCAACATAAGTACACTTGACATGGAGATTGGATAATTAAGAATGTTTAATTTTAGAATAATGAAGGATTTCTTTAAAGATATTTAGAATTGCTAAATGTTGGAATGATATTTCTCTTTGAGATATGCAACTAGAGTTTGTTGTGAAGAGAGAAAATGCAACAAAAAGAAGTCAGATTAACTATCAGTTACTAGTACAAATGAAATTATAAAAGTGCAATGGTAAGGTCAGGAATGTTTGGTCTGGAGAAGACTAGCACTTACCTGCAGATGAAAGAAAATAATGCAGCTTATATGAGCCTTCATTCTCTGCCTGTCATTGAACAGAGAATAGGAAGAAATTAAAACTGGAAGCTTTATTTCAGAGAAAGGCAAAAAAAATGTGTCCTATTGGTACAAAGAGAATGATATTAGAAAATACTATCCATGCAAGTTGTTATATCTCTTTACCTGGAGATCTTTCAAGCAAAAAAAATAGCTATACTCAAGATAATAAAGTCAGTTTAAGGAATCCAATTCTAGCTGTGGATGCCATGTGCTTGTATGTGTAGGAGAGAGAAGAAAGGTATCAATTAGATAATCTCAAATGGAAAATTTAAAAAGGGCTTTTTCATATACAACTGCATTAAAAGAGCTATAACTTGAGAAACTAATGGCAAGCTCCCTAATGTAATTATTATAGAGAATCATCGCATTGAATAATGCAAAAGACAAAGGGCTATAAAACCTATATTTACAAAGATATTTTATGAGTTCAGAGTGGGAAAAAAATACAGAAATTTTTTTGAAAAGACATTTAGCCTGGCTGGTGTGGCTCAGTTGGTTGAGCGTTGTCCCGGCACCAGAAAATCACTGATTCAATTCCCTGTCAGAGCACATGCCCAGGTTGCAGGCCCAATCCCTGGTAGGGTGTGTGCAGGAGGCAGCGGATTAATGTTTCTCTCTCATTGATGTTTCTATCTCTTTCTCCCTCTCCTTTCCTCTCTCTGAAATTAATAAAAACATCTTTATTATTATTTTTTTAAAAGACATTTAGAGCCCGGCCTGTATGGCTCAGTGGCTGAGTGTCGACCTATGAACCAGGAGGTCAGGGTTCAATTTCCAGAAAGGCAAATGCCCGGGTTGTGGGCTCAATGCACAGTGTGGGGCATGCAGGAGGCAGCCAATCAATGATTCTCTCTCATCATTGATGTTTCTCTCTCTCTCTCCCTCTGCCTTCCTTTCTGGAATCAATAAAAAATATATTATCAAAAAAAAGAGTAAATCTAGCCATTTTGATTTTGAACTAGCCTCAAAGATTTTCCTTCAAATAGCCATGATAGTTGGGATAAAGATCATATTGTTTTAAACACCTGCTATAACAATCTATGTGTAGTCTATGAAAAAGCATGGCACACTGGGAGCAGCAAGTTGGAATGCTACAGGCCTACTTTGAAATCCTAGCATCATCACTTTCTGCAGAGGTTTGAACCAAATGCTCAATTCTGTTTTGGAGTTTCAAGTTTTTCCTCTCTGATATGGCAGTAATAATATCTTCCTCAAGCCACTATTGTATGAGGATTAAATAAAAAAGAAATAATGCCTACAGAAGGGACTTACACAGCTCCAGGAATGTGACATTTTAAAATTCCTATTGCCTTGCTCTCTGCAAAACAAAACAAAATGATAACCTTAGGTAGGTAGAACTACTGAAGCAAAAAAAGGGCATTGTTCTAATTCCCAAACCAAGCAAGACAGAAACTGAAAGAATCTACTGCAGAAATAGCAATAAGAAATTCGAACTTGAGGCTCTTTGAGACTGTAAAGAGATTCCAGTTAACCTAGTTAAGATAATGGGACCTTCACTGGCCTAAGGGAGACTCCCTGTGATAAAACTGTGACAACACATAGATTTGTGCTGACTACCTCTCAGAGAATAAAACCTGAGAGCAGATTCAGACAACTGACAAGCATTATAATTGATTCTGATAGAAACTTTAATATAACTACAGCAGAGAAAAAAATTGGACATGAATATGCATGTCATTATTGTTATCATATATTTGCATATTTTCTCTTGCTGAAATAAGACAAGAGATTCAAACTAGCACATATATCAATTTTTGTATTAGTCATTTATTAATCTTTATGTCTAAGTATTATTTAGAATTTGTAAATGTTTCTAATTCAAAAACTCCTGGCATTGATTTGAATTTTCTCATGAAATGATGGTATTTGCATTCAATTCCCAAGTGTCCCAGCTGTCCTCTCCAGGAGATATTCCTGTACTATAAACTCCTGGAGGTGACATTGCAAGAGAGGTGTGTGAAAGAGTTTTTCTGTGTCTAGGTAAGAATTGTCGCACACCTTCAATGCTATGTAAAATGAAGTTATTGTTACAAACAGGACTCTTTAAGTCCAAATGCACTTGATGTGGCCCAATTCTCAGTTTTTCCCTTGCAATAACAGGGTTAACGTATTTTGGGGGGGATTTTTGTTTTTAATGAAAACTGCAGAAGTTGCTGCTACATCAAAAATCAACTTGGTTACTATTAAAATTATATTTAACAGAGTTGCCATCGACAAGTTTCTATTTTTCAGTTGGCTACACACAGATGTGAATCTAAAGGAGGAAGTGCGTGACTTTCATCTTCTCTTGATAATTTTGTTGATTACAAATTATATAGATAGAAGGAATGTGAAATAAAGTGTAATGAAGGCCAAGAAAAGAAGGAGATAGCATAGTTCAGTGGCTGAGAAAAACAATTTTGGAATCAGAAAGATATGTTCAAATCAGTGTTTTTCAACTCATTAGCAGTGTGACCTTTGGCTACTTACTTTAACTTCTCTAAATGTGTTTCCTGATATTAAAAGGGTGCTTAATATCCCTATATTATGGTTATTATGAAAATTAAATAAGAATATATGTAAATCCTTGTCACAGTGTCTTGAACATATAAGCATTCAAGTATTTGCTCAATTATATTATTACTTTTCGTTATAATAATAATAAATGCTCAAGTATTATTACTTGGTTGTGGTTGTTATTACCATATTTAGTAAGAAATAGAACACTTGGCCTTAACTGGTGTGGCTAAGTTGGTTGAGCATCCTACCATGCACCGAAAGATCACCAGTTCAATTTCTGGTCAGGGCACATATGCAGGTTGCAGGTTTGATCCCAGGTCTCGGTACATATAGGAGGCAACTGATTAATGTTCCTCTCTCTTCCTTTCTCTTAAAAACCTTTAAAAAAATAAACAATTGCTCTGTGATATTCAATATTCACTCTTGGCTATTTTTGACTGTTTCCCTCTGGCTCATTTCTTTCCTAGGAATGAGGAATATGGTTAGAGATTACAGAAAATTGAGAAAAATATGTTCCCACTGCACCAAAAGAGAGACCTTCAAAGTAAGCTCTGAAAGAGTTGCCAAGTCCCTCTTGGAACAATAGCCTCCTGGAGAATAGATAAGTCAGTGATATAGGTTTAAGCCAAGGCTCATAAATAAGACTCAACTGCAAGTCTGTAGCCATTGCTAATGGCTCATAGCTCGCTTGCTCCTGCTTCTTCTGGGGTAGGGAAGGGGAGCGTTTTCTTTTTCTTTTTCTTTTTTTTTAATATATTTTATTGATTTTCTACAGAGAGGAAGGGAGAGAGATAGATAGCCAGAAACATCGATGAGAGAGAAACATCAATCAGCTGCCTCCTGCACATCTCCCACGGGGGATGTGCCCGCAATCCAGGCACATGCCCTCGACCGGAATCGAACCTGGGACCCTTCAGTCCGCAGGCCGACGCTCTATCCACTGAGCCAAACCGGTTTCGGCGGGAGCGTTTTCTTGACATAAAATGTCAGGAGTGGACTTGGCAAGGACATGAATGATTAAGCTTTCTTTTGTCTAAGGTCCCAAGGCTCCACCCACAGACACCTGATGAATGAAAATGGTTCTTGGGGACGGGGGCGGGGGTGATAGGGCGTGAAAAACCTATCAAGGGAAGAACAGTGTGCTTGGCTGCAATCCGTAAGCCTCCAGTTTAAGCCGGGTGGCATTGTGCATTGATACGTATACAACGTTCTTTTGAGCGGAATTCTGGGAGAATCATTAGAATCCTGCCCAAACCGAGGCTTTCTCAGACAGCCGTGAGAGGGCTGAGAGAGCCTCCCTTTTGAAGCCCATATTAAGAAAGAGTATGGGGGAACAAAATGGAGGTAGGGGGTAGTGAGAAGGCAGTGAGATGTAGTGGGGCTCCAGGGAACCCTACTGACCTCAGGAGCCGCCCGCGCAGCTGTGACACTCACTACGCCCCGGCCGCCGTGACCCCGACTCGCCGCCGGCCGCCATCTTTTCTGCTGCGATTCGCGCAAGGAGCCCTCTCGGCCACCGTAGCAGCCATAGCAGCTACACTTCCGGTAGATTCCGGGGGTACGTACTTCAGAAAACTTCACCTCTGAGAACAGGGCTAAGGTAAAGACCCCCAAGTTCGCCATGGCGGACAAGCCCAGTTGCCCGGCAAAGCTTTATGCCTTGAATGAGAACAACCAATGGGATTATCTGGGCTCAGGGAATGTCACCTCAGTTCCCTCAGAATCCCAGGGCATGTTTCTGGTAGTTAGGTCGGAATCCAGCGGCTCGCTGGTCCTAGAGACTGAGGTACTCCCAGACACGCCCTATCAGAAACAAAAAGACACATTAATTGTTTGGTCCGAAGGTGAGAACCACGGAATGGCGTTGAGTTTCCGAGACTCGGAGAGTTGTCAGGAGACCTGGGAAGCCATTTGCCAGGTTCAAGGTAAAGACCCCACTGTCAACGTCACACAGGACCTCTTAGATGATTTGGAGGAAGACATTAATGAAACGCTAGAAACTGATGATTTGGATGAACTGCCTAACTGTGAACTCAGTAAACTTAAACAGATCGCTAACTTAGTCACCTCAGCTTTCGGTTCACCTCTCCTCAGGAGAAGGCTGGCCCTGGTCTTAGAAAATGAGAGCTATATTAAAAAACTACTGCAGCTGTTACACACTTGTGAGAACGTGGGCTACACTGAAGGCTTATACCATTTAAATACAATTATTAAAGGAATGTTTTTCCTCGACAAGACAGCTCTGCTTGAGATCTTGTTTTCTGATGAGTGCATCATGGATGTGATAGGATGCCTTGAATATGATCCTGCTTTGGATCAGCCAAAAAAGCATAGGGAATTCTTGACCCAAAATGCAAATTTCAAGGAAGTTATACCGATAACAACCTGTAAACTTAGACAAAGAATACATCAGACATACAGGGTACAGTATATTCAAGACATTCTTTTTCCTACACAATCGGTATTGGAAGAGAATTGTCTTTCTGCTCTTAAAACTTTTATTTTCCTCAACAAGATGGAGATAATCCACATGCTGCAGGGAGATGACAATTTTTTGCCTCAAATATTTGAACAGTTAAAGGACAAGACTATTGATAATGATAAACGCCGAGAATTGTTATTTTTTCTCAAGGAATTTGTTGCATTTGCTCAGATATTAAAGCCTCGAAGCAAGGATGCACTATTCAAAACATTGACACAAATGGGAATTCTTCCCGCTATTAAAGTTATAATGAGCCTGGATAATTTTCAAATAAAGTCATCTGCTATTGACATATTTACTTATATGGTAGATCATAGTCCATCCATGATCCGAGAATTCATAATAGAAGACCAGCAGAATGAAAATGGTAGCCTTCTCATTAATTTAGTCATTAAACAAATGATCTGTGATCCTGATCCTGAGCAAGCAGGTGCTTTACATATAATGAAACTTCTTCGTTTAGTACTTGATCCAGACAACATGATAGCGATGCCACATAAATGTGAAAGAAGTATATTTCTAAATTTCTTTTATAAACAATGTATGCATAACATAATACTACCACTTTGGGCCACCACATCAGAAGATACATTCGAAGAGGATCATATACTTACAGGTGACATAAACAACAAATATTGCCTCCATGATTATCAAACAGCACAGCTGCTTGGCATAATTTTAGAGCTGCTAACTTTTTGTGTGCAACATCACACATACTACATAAAATACTATATTTTGCGAAAAGACTTACTGAGAAATGTCTTGATCTTGATGAAGTCGAAACACACTTTCTTGGTATTATGTGCTCTTCGCCTTATGAGAAAGATAATTGGCCTTAAAGATGAAGTTTATAATCGTTACATCATCAAGGGAAATTTATTTGAGCCGGTTGTAAATGCCTTTCTGGATAATGGAACTCGATACAATATGTTGAATTCAGCTGTTATTGAACTATTTGAATATATAAAAGTGGAAAATATCAAGTCTCTGCTAATACATGTAGTTGAAAAGTTTTACAAAAGACTTCAATGGATTGAATATGTTCCGACATTCAAAAGTTTGAAGTTTAAATATGAACAAGAGAAAGACCGAAAGAGTCAAAAGAGTTTGAATTCTATGCAGAGTAGTAAAATATTTTTGTCAAGCGCCAGAGAGTTGGAGAAGAATGAAGTTTCTTGGAAAAGAGATATAGAAGATATAGAGGAAGGAGAAACAAGTATGAACCCACTGGAAAGTGATTGTCAATATGTTTGTGATACATTTATGGAGACTGAAGAAACAACAGAAAATGAAGACAAGGTGAATCTTCCTAAAAGAACATCTTCTGGTGACCTCAAATTTACTCATACCCATTCTACTGGTGATACCAATGGAACAGATAGCCCAATGAGATTAGTGGATTATTCGGATGATGAAGAAGAAGAAGATAAGGAAGATGAAAAGGCATTTAGGAAAAGACCACATCTTATTCCGTAAAATCTTTATGAGAGACTCTCAACATCAAAGTCTATGTTACTAAAATTCTGTAAACATCAATTAGCTAAAAATTCTGAATCTAAAACTTTCTTATGTGAACTTTACAAGTATGCAATTTGTAACAAAGATGCTTAGTATTATCATCTAGAAAGGTTTAGTTCTGTATAAACCAAGCTTCCATAATTTAAAAAAGAACTAACCAGAACATGAATAATTTCTTAGCAAGAAAAGTCTTTGTTTGAAGCAGATGGAAGAACAGGTTGATAATATAATATCAACGTAGTTTTGTTCCACCAGTATATATTAGAAACAACTGTTAGAAGTACAGTTGCACAACCTGTAATGTTACTTTCCCAAAACCATTGACTATGCTTTTATTTTATTTAATTGCCTTCTTTGAAACAAAAATTTATGTGTATGTTTTCATGGAAACAAAGTCAACTGCAATAAAAAAAAAAAAAGTTAAGCTATTTACATTTCTGTGAAGATTTAACAGAAAGTCAGCCTTACGGGTTATTGAAGGGAAGTAACTTTCAGTGTGCATTTTCATAATAAAAAAGGAAGCTGGTTTCAAAAAATTCAGTTGTTAATGTGTCTTTGTTTATATTGATAAGAGGTATCAAAAGTCAGTCCCATAATATTCTAAAATGGTGTTCTTTAGGACCTTGGGAGTAGTAGAACAGAATGGTTTAAACTTGGAAGTCATTTCCTGATTCCTTAATAAAGCTGTGTGTGACCAAAGCAGCAGGTAAGTTTTAAAGTGTCATTTACAAAGGCTAATATACAAAAAACCAGAGGCCTGGCGCACAAAATTTGTGCACAGGTAAGGTCCCTAGGCCTGGCCTGCAATCAGGGCCATTTTCTCTGGCTTCCTGCAGTTGGCCCCACCCCACCCCACCACCCATCCCTGGTTCCCCATTCACCATCAGGTGATCAAAGCCTGATGGCCGGGGGAGGGGACCAAGAGGTCGGCCGTTCCTGCCCGCTCTCAGGCCCCACCCCTGCCTCAGGTTGCCCTCTGTGGGGTGACTGGTGGGGTAAGGGCCTTGGCCTGGTGCCACCCACATCCTTTGCCATCCACCCCCAGTTCCCCGTTTGCTGTTTGTCATCAGCTGATCATAGCCTGCCGGCCGGGGAAAGGAACCAAAAGGTAGTCAGTGCGCCTCATAGTGACTGGTCAAGCTGTCATTCTGGTCATTCTGCTGTTAGGGTCAATTTGCATATTACCCTGTTATTATACAGGATAGTGCTGAATGAAGTGGCACTTAATATCTAGAAACCATTTTGGGCCAAGAAAAGGTTACTTAGATGTTAAATTCCACATACAGTCTATGAAGTTTGTTTTTCTGTAAACAAGCAACATGTAATATGAAAGGTGCTTTCTTAAAGAGTTAAAGCAAATGAATTTCTAAAAATAAATTGTAGCAAAGAGTTGAGGTTTTATTTTTTACAGGAGTAAGTTAACTGGGTCTACTTACCCTGGATTAGCTTAAATTGAAACAGTTTCTTCTGCTTTGAAGATTTTAGGGTTAATTTCAATTTTATTTATTGAACAAGATGGGCTGTCTGGGTATATATATAAAGTACAGTTTTCCAGAAGACAGATATTTATTTTGTATTAAAAATACCATTAAAATTATTTAGTGATGATATTCATACTGAACTATAAAATTCAAGAATTAAAAAGTGACCCTATAATTCCAAAAATAAGACCATTTCAAATGTATTATTATGCCAATAGGCGACACATCTCATGCAAAACTAAGAGACTGTTATTTAAGAGCTACAAAAAGAGTGTATTCCTAAAACATCAAACAATCATTTCACCAGATACAGAGTCTGCTAAAGTGTGGACGTGACCTCAGGAGATGTCATCAGACATTACTAAGGACATGACACAGCAGGGGAATTGCATTTTCACATCTCTCAAATCATGTGAAATTAAATGTAATGGGATTATTTGAAGTCAAGTGACTTTGTGAGTGTCTGTCAAAAAAAGGCAGTTTGTTTAAAAAGCATTTCATATTTTCCTTCTGGCTAGATTGTCATGGGGAATATTATCCATAGCACAAACATTTACATGTATACACAGAGTTTTGTTTTGAAGAAAATAGACTTCACTCTTTGTTTCGGTGGGAATAGCCCCACTTCCTTAACAGAGCATCTATTTACATGTAGACAGAGAAGAACAAATTTTTTTACACTCTTTCTGCTTATTCTCTTCCCTTCAGCTAGCTTTAATCAGGCATAAAAAATGAGCATTGTGGGAGAAAAAAATGAATTTTTGCATTTTTATTGTGTTGTCCACAGTGAATTTGTAAGGCAAGACAAAGGAGGGCATAAGTGTAATGGAAAGTTGAAAAAAAACACAAAAGAAAAAAGGACAGGCATTCTATTGAGCTGTGTAACCTCTATGAGCCCTTTTCTAGTCTCAGCTACTTAATGCTAGGAAAACAACATGACAAGCAAAATGGTGCAAAGCCAAATTGCCCATCACATGGCATAACCTACTATTAAGGGAACATTTAAGAGGGCAACAAAACACAGAATAGCAATCCTTACTGTCTGCACACTGAGTGAAAAATTGAGCAAAATGTTCAGTCTCTCTAGATGTTGTATGTGAGAAGAGACCATGTAAAAAATGTTTAATTTCCTCTAAGTTTTTTAAAAGTTCATTTTAAGAGTACCCTGAAGTGGTTTATTTATGAAAAGAAGAAACAGTTTGGAATGGCCCTGTATTTCCAAATCATTCGGATGAGCATTTCTGTAGAGATGTCTTGGATTTGATAAGGTTTTGACTTTTAATACATGACTTTGGGTATTTTTATGACTTAGTGACTTCCTAAACCAACAAGGGGAGGGTGATGTAACAGATAAAGCAAAAGCTTCATATTCAAACAGCCCTTGAGAACAATGCAGGCTCTGACACCAGTTTCATGACCTTAGCAACTTACTTATTTTCTCCTCTAGCCATAATTTCTCCATCTTGTCTTAAAAATTAGAAACTATATATAAATTACTGAGAACGTAGTACTAAATAAGTAGCTTTTTATAACTATTATCATCAGCAACAGTATAATCATTTCCAGGAAATAGGGATAAAGTCAAGTATAAGAATTTATATCACAAGTTATGCTCATCTTATCTAGTAAAGAGAACACATGCAAATTGACCATCACACCATAACAGTCAAGTTGGCTGCACCCACAGCGGAGGCAGGGATTCCTTAACACAAGATGGCTGCGCCCACATCAGAGGCCGAGTTCCCGTAACGAGCCTTAATGAACAATCAGCAGAGACCTGAGGCTGTGTGGCACTGGATTAGGGCAGGGGACCTGAGGCTGCACCCCCAATCTGGTGGAGCTTGACAGGGGACCTCAGGCCATGCCCCCCACCCCAGTGCCAGGCCAGGCCAGGGGACCTCAGGCCGTGCCCCTTGCCCTGGCGCCAGGCTGTAGGGCCTCAGGCCATGGCCCCTACCCTGGCACCAGGCTGGGGGGGCCTCAGGCCATGCCCCCAGCACCAGGCCAGGGGACCTGAGCCACGCCCCACGCCCTGGCACCAAGCCGTGGGACCTGAGGCTGCATCCCTAGCCCAGCAGGACTTGACAGGGGACCTCAGGCCATGCCCCCCCACCCCAGCACCAGGCTGGGGGAATCTCAGGCCATGCGATCTCAGGCTGAGCCCACGGCCCCAGTGCCAGGCAGGGGGACCTCAGGCCACACCCATTCACTCCAGGACTGGTCCAGGGGACTTGAGGCAGCACCCCCTGCCCAGCAGGGCTTGACAAGGGACCTCAGGGCACACCCCCCACCCCAGTGCCAGGCCGGGGAAACTCAGGCCATGCTTCCCGCCCCAGCACTGGGCCAGGGGACCTGAGGCCGTGACCCCTGCCCTGGCACCAGGCCGTGGGACCTGAAGCCGTGCTGCCTGCCCGATGGGGCTTGACAAGGGACCTCAGGCTGCGGCCCCCACCCCGGCGCCAGGCTGGGGGACCCCAGGCCAAGGAACCTCAGGCCGCGCCCCCTGTCCCAGTGCCAGGCCAGGGGACCTGAGGCCACATTCCCCGCCCTGCGGGGCTTGACAGGGTACCTCAGGGCACACCCCCCACCCAGCGGGGCTTGATGGGGTACCTCAGGCCATGCCCCCTGCCCTGGTGCTGGGCTGGGGGACCTGAGGCCATACCCCCCACCCCAGCACCAGGTCGGGGGACCTTAGGCTGCGCCCCCCACCATGTGGGGCTTGACAGGGCACCTCAGGCTGTGCCCCCCACCCCAGCACTGGGCAAGGGGACCTGAGGCCGCATCCCATGCATGGCAGGGCTTGACAGGGGACCTCAGGCTGCACCCCCCACCCCAGTGCCAGGCCAGGGGACCTGAGGCTGCAGCCCCCACTCGCAGGGCTTGACAGAGGACCTCCAGGCATGCCCCCTGCCATGGCCTGGGCCAGGGAACCTGAGGCCGTGTTCCCTGCCTGGTGGGGCTTGACAGGGACCTCAAGGTGCACCCCCTGCCGCAGTGCCGGGCTGGGGAAACTCAGGCCATGCTTCCTGCCCCAGCATCAGGCCACGGGACCTGAGGCCATGCCCCCTGCCCCAGTGCCAGGCTAGGGGACCTCAGGCCACGCCCCCTGCCCCAGTGCCGAGCCTGAGAGTCTCAGACCATGCCTCCCATCCCAGCACTGGGCCTGGGGACCTGAGGCCATGCTCCCCACCCTGTCATCAGGCTGGGGGACCTGAGGCTGCAGCCCCCACCCGCGGGGTTTGACAGGGGCCCTGAGGCTGTGCCCCCCACCTGGCGGGGCTTGATGGGGGATGTGAGGCTGCGCCCCCTGCCCGGCACCAGGCCAGGGGACCTGAGGCTGCACCCCCTGCCTGGCGGGTCTTGACAAGGGTGGGGCCGGCCGGGTCTGGATCTTGCATGATTTTCAGGCACTGCAGGTAGGTGAGGACTTGACTCTGGGCCCCATGGTGTGCCCCATACTCTGACAGGAGGAAGATT